GACATAGTGATAACACTCGTTGCCTTCTCTAGTGCAGCTCAACCAGGTCTCGTCTCATTGGTCAATATTTGTGATATCACAAATCCCGGAAAATATGCGTTGTAGTCCAAACGAGTCGTTCGTTGTAGTTTTTGAAAAGTGATTTCTGTTAAATAAAATATCTCCTTTTGAAGTGGACTTTGAGCTTTGTAACTTCGCAGATCTTTTTTATGCTCAAACAGCAACATTACAGACCAACTAACGTTGAAAAAGTGAAAAAGCATAATAGGACCCCTTTAATATAAATGAAATAGTTTAAATTATATAATAATTACATTTTAACTTAATAAGGGGGGAAAAAAGTTGAGAATCTGAGACCACACTTAAAATCAGCACGTTTTAATAAATAAATTATTTAATAAATAAGATACTGACTTCTTTCAAAAATTATATTATATTTTACATTATATAAGATATTATTAATTATAACATTGAAATAAATTATATAATATATTTAATACATTTTATATTTAAAATACATTTATTTTAAATGATTAAATAAAGACATTTTTATAAAGTGGTTAGTAGTAAATCTGCCAAAATTTGGCACTTTTTATTTTTTTGTAACATGCATTATATTAAATTATTATATTTTAAATTTTTTTTATGTAAAATTGTGACCCTGGATCACAAATCCAGTCATAAGTCACATGGGTATATTTGTAGCAATAACCAAAAATACATTGTATGGGTCAAAATCATTAAGTACAGGTCATGTTTCATGAAGATTAGTAATATGCATTGCTAAGAACTTCATTTGTACAACTTTAAAGGAGATTTTCTGAATATTTAGATTTTTTTTGCACCCTCAGATTCCAGATTTTCAAATAGTTGTATCTCAGCCAAATATTGTCCTGAATTTCTGAAAATCTCAATTTAAAAAAAGACTGACCTTCATCACTGGTTTTGTGGTCCCGGGTCACATTTGGCATTTTTTGTTCTTTGTAACATACCCAATTCCCCTTTTTTTTTTTTTTTAAACAAAAGTGGCCTGTTCAGTCTAAAAGCTCTTGTGATAGGCCATTACTTGTACTACTCACATTAGTTCTATAATCACCTCTAATCAAAGCCAATTCTATTTTTATATCTATGGAGGCTAATTACCTGTTGAGTCCCTGCACGTAGCCGATGGTAGGGTTTTGCCAAGAGAACGCCTGCAGAACTCTCTCCAGCTTCTGAATCAAGGGGCTTGAAGGAGGGGAAAAGTATTGATTGGAGGTCAGCGTACGATCCAGGTCCAGCTGAATCTGTCTGGGCACCAGGTGAGGCGATGTTCTGCTCTTCTCGCACAGTTCCTGATAGCGGTCGGGTTGACGCTCTTTTAGAGACTTGGTCCTAGTCTGTATAATAAAGCGCCAAACCCTCGCACGGTACTCGCGTGGTAAGCCCGTCCGGAGGAGATTCTTCAGTTCTGTGGATGAAGACAGTTCTCCTTCAGGGCGTCCAAACAGGAGCTGAGCGCAACGAGCCAACAATGGCCCGTCGCATTCCTCCTGGTTCAGCAGGGCTTGGGATCGAATCTCCAGAGCCTGGATCTTAGCAAGGAGCTTCAGGTCCTCAATTTTGTAGTCCATTGCAATCGTAAATCCATATTCATCGTAATCCCTGTGGAATGTCGGGAACTGTGAGTTCCAACATAAATAGAACTCTGACAAACATTTATATGGGGAAAATATTTGTGATTTAAGGCCTGCTGACAGCAAGACTCCACAGACGAAAAGAACAGGGTGAATAAATTATGACATAATTTGTATTTGGGGTAAACTGATGGGACTGTTTACCTGATTGAGTTTAGTTTGACGGCAGTCCTCAGGTCTGACCGAACTGCATCCTTAACCACCTTCTTGACCACTTCTCTCTGCTCTGGATTCAATTCCTTACTATCCTGGAGCTTCTGGAGGATTCCCAGGTATCTGCTTTCCATCTGACAGCTGTTGGCCTCCAGAACAGCACACTGACACACACACAGTAACATTATTAAATCCAATTTTCAAACACTTCTTGATGTTTACTATCTCAGATTACCATCGCAAATGGTTCTGACCAATTTTAAAGCGCTTATATTATAAAAATGTAATTTTGTCTTGATCTTTTGATATGGAAGTGAACACACTCTAACTTTCAAAACACTATTCTCTCAGTTCACGAAGAGCCATTTAGTGTTTAGATTAGCCAATCAGTACAAAGGGTAAAGACAGTAGCAAAAAAATTTTTTGGTGCAAGAAACCGTGACTGAAAAATAGTTTACCTTTACTATCAGACTTTGCTCCTGTTCGCAACTTTTTCTCCAAAGTGTCGTCAGATGATAGATCTCAGAGTTTAGGTACTGGTTCTGAGTTTTATGTGCCTTCAAATCATCCTGAAATAGAAATATGATCACATTTTGGCTTGGTGTAAAGTTGCAATCATGCTTGGCACAGTCATTTTAGAAGCATAAAATGCAGATAAACTGCTCATAAATAATGCACATTTATATTATTAGTTATATATTAAAAAGTTTGGGGTTGGTAAGTTTTGTTGTATGTTTTTTTATGGAAGTCTCTTGCTGCATTTATATGATCAAAAATTCTGTAAAAAACAGTAATATTGTGAAATATTATTACAATTTTAAATAACTCTTTTCTATTTTAATGTATTTTTAAATGTAAGTTATTCCTGTGATGGAAAAGCTGAATTTTCAGTTTATTATTATCAATGTAGAAAACAGCTATACTGTGGTACCATACTAAAATTTTTGTGGAAACCATGATAATTTTTTCAGGATTCTTTGCTGATCAGAAAATGGAAAAGCTTTTATTTGAAATAGAATTCTTCTTTAAATGTTCGCCGGTTCCCGCCTCCTCCTTCCCGACCTACGAACGTTGTTACATTGGTGCCGAAACCCGGGAGGAAGGAGGGACACGCTGCCAGAGATCCCTCGCCACTGTGGTGAGTCCGCAGTGCCATCGAGCATGGCGGAGCAGTCTGCCGCCATGGAGGCTCAAGGCGGTGGGCTGGAGTGAGTTGCCGGGGGGGTGGACGAACTCGCTGCCGTCCGCCTGGGATGTGGAGGGACGGCTGCCGTCCGTGAGGGAGCGGAGGAGTCGCCGCCGTTCGCCTGAGGCCGGAGCCTGCTGCCATCTGCCATGATGGGGAGGAGCAGGGAACGGGGGACTCCTGCCGGCTGAATAGCCCTCCATCCACAGAGGGCTATCCAGTGCCGCCGCCAGGCATCGCGGAAGAGTTTACCCAGCTGGTGGAGGGCCAAGTGGCAGTGTGTCTGGGAACCGGAACAAGATTTATTTATTTTTTTCTCTTGTCTCTGTCTCTCCTCATCCTTCCGTCTCCTTTTCTCTCGCCTCGTCTGTCTGTCCTTACCCCCAGGTACTCCACGGCCGCCGTGATCGGCTCTCCCAGAGGGGGGAGTAGAGCGCAGTCTCGTGAGTACCCCCCGGCCTGCGAGGGGCAATGGGGGTATGTGACGAGAGGGGCGGGGCTGAGAGCCGTGGGAACGGAGCGAGGCCAGTGGAGTAAATGCTAATGCACGACACCTGCGCCACTCAGTCCCACGAATGAGCTCCAGAAGGATAAGAGGAGGAGTGACGACAGTGTTGGACGAGAGAGGACTAGGCCTGGATTTTATTTTGTGTTTTGGTTCTGTTTGTGTGCGACAGTCATCCGCGAGGGGCTGTCGCGCTGTTTTGTGTTTATTTTATTATTAAAGTTTTCTTTAAATGTTTGCCGGTTCCCGCCTCCTTCTTCCCGAACTACAAACTGTGTTACAATATTGTAATACCATATATTTGTATGTAAAAATGCTGTATTTTCTCACTTTCAAATTCTCATTCTCGATTGTTAGCTGTTTTAAGGCCTCTGATTGCAGCCCATTGGTGCACTGCTGGTCTTCCCCACAGACTGCTAACTTCTCAGACAGCTTCACTATTACTTCCTGTTTGGCCTGATTCTTGTGCATCAGGAGCTGGACGCTCTCCTGGAGTTCGGCGATATGGGCGTCCCTCTGGTTCAGATCCCTCCGTAGGTTCTCGTTCTCTTGCTGCAGGGACTCCAGATGGTCTTGCAGTTCGGCCGCACGCTGCTCGCCGTGTCTGAGGAGCTCCAAGCGCTCCTGCTCTCCCTCAGCGGCTAGAAACTGAGCACAGGTGCGCTTCTCCAGCTGAGCAGCTTCTAGCACCTTATGTAACAGCAACACCAACTCCTGACAACACATACATATGTGACTTTCAGTTGATTAATCTTATATGAGAAGCTGAAGTGGTTATTAACTTTCTCACTTTACCTTCTGCGCTTTGACCTCTTCTGCCAGGTAAAGTTTTTCATGTTGAAGTCGAGATGTGTCCTTGAGCTCCAGTGATGTGGACTTTTCTTTGCTACTCTTTCTGATTGGTGAAATGGTGGAGAGATCATGCTCAGACCTGGCATTAGCAGGGGATTCTGGGCTTTGAGATGAACTGGATGTAGGAACCGCTAAAGCTAAGGAGGACGGTGGTCATGAGCATCTAAATTTGAAACAATTGTTTATTATTTTTCTAGTGAGAAAGTTGTGGTTCTTACTGGATGTCTTAGATGAGGGTGTTTTTTGTTTGTCAGTTGAGTCATCAATATGGAAAACACTTTGTCTAATTTCCTGTGAGTGCCGGTTACGGAAACTGTGCACTGTGTTCCTGTAAATCAAGCATAGAGAAACCACTGAAGAATTCATTAGCAATAATAACATTTCGCTCCCTTGGTGACGTGGCAAAGGGATCTCATTATAATATTACCGCCCCTTAATCTGTAAGTTTCCACCCACGGCGCCATTATTGTGTTTTCGCAAGCGATGACGGTGTACCAGCTCTAATGCCATAGTGAAAGTTTGAGCAAATCATACTAACTGTTCTGCCTTTGTCTGCACAGACGAGCACAGAACACTATTTAGAGTCCCTGCCTCAGAGGAGACAAGAGAGCAGTGGATTTATTGATTTATTTAATGTATATTGCTGCTGCCACACAGATCTAAAATAAACATGCAACTTATTTCCCAGCAGTTTACCTTCACAGACATAACCGACTGTTTTTTGTAACTCGTGTGTTTTTAACATAAACTTGTGTGTGAATGAGAACTTAGTTTAGTACTCACATGCTGTGACAGCTGCTTTCTGTCCATGTGCTTTGGATGTGTGCTCTCAGAAAACCATATATCAGAAGTTTCAACTCATATTGTTTAAAATGCATGATTTCAGTGCGATAAACATGATAATCAGAAACAGAACATATGTTTTTAGCAGGTACTAGCTGTAATGGCGCAGCTCTATTCTGGAAAAGGGGGCGGGGAGCAGCAGCTCATTTGCATTTAAAGAGACAAGCTCGAAAAACAGCGTGTTTCTGCTTCCACTCAAAATAGGCATTTTCAAAATGATATAATAAATGATCTATTTTGAGCTGAAACTTCACAGACACATTCTGGGGACACCAGAAACTTATATTACATATTGTAAAAAGGGGCATAATATGTCTCCTATAAATTAACAGAGGACATTGTGGTCTCTAGACATGTCTTGGTCTCTTTAATTTAAGTCTGTAGGGTTTAATTGCACAATGCGCATCTTATTAACCATCAGATAAAAGTCTAATCAAAGCCTACTGGATTATATCTGATAGGCCTTATATCTGAATTTCTAAGGCCTGTAAATTATCAACATCAAACTTTTCTGCAAAACCTGTTGTAAACAATCCACTACATTCCTTCAGTCATCTGATTGTTGTCTTCTAGTATCATTCTGAAAACTTCTTAGAAAAATCATGCTAAAATTGTAAGGATTTTGAGGAATGTTTATTAACGTTCATCTCTCAGTCATCATTGTATGTTTTGCTCCAGAATAAAAACCACAAAGCTTTCACAAAACTAAGCATTTAAATATCATCTATCTTACTTAGAAATATTAGTAAGATTGGGAGATATATATAGAGTGACAATTGATATTTTAATGCATTTTATTTATATGCAGTCAGCTATACTTCAGAATTTTTTCTCAGATTGTTTTATTTTTTAACAGGCTCCTTTGTATGCTTATGTAATCAGTTTAATAATTTTTGACATTGAAAATGATGATGAAATAGTGTTTGACGTGATGTGTTTTATTCAGAAATAGAAGCAACTTCCCACTTTCATTGAGACCGATGTGAAACTAATATTACTTCCTAATCATATATTAGATAAACTATTTGGTACAATGCCCACATTATTCAGTGAACAAAACAAGCCCATATTTCTTGGTTTATTATTAAAATAAGTATTGCCTTTTATTATAACAATAATAATAAAATACTTTTTTCACTTACTAGGTTTAACTGCTGCCACACAGATCTAAAATAAACATGCAACTTATTTCCCAGCAGTTTACCTTCACAGACATAACCGACTGTTTTTTGTAACTCGTGTGTTTTTAACATAAACTTGTGTGTGAATGAGAACTTAGTTTAGTACTCACATGCTGTGACAGCTGCTTTCTGTCCATGTGCTTTGGATGTGTGCTCTCAGAAAACCATATATCAGAAGTTTCAACTCATATTGTTTAAAATGCATGATTTCAGTGCGATAAACATGATAATCAGAAACAGAACATATGTTTTTAGCAGGTACTAGCTGTAATGGCGCAGCTCTATTCTGGAAAAGGGGGCGGGGAGCAGCAGCTCATTTGCATTTAAAGAGACAAGCTCGAAAAACAGCGTGTTTCTGCTTCCACTCAAAATAGGCATTTTCAAAATGATATAATAAATGATCTATTTTGAGCTGAAACTTCACAGACACATTCTGGGGACACCAGAAACTTATATTACATATTGTAAAAAGGGGCATAATATGTCTCCTATAAATTAACAGAGGACATTGTGGTCTCTAGACATGTCTTGGTCTCTTTAATTTAAGTCTGTAGGGTTTAATTGCACAATGCGCATCTTATTAACCATCAGATAAAAGTCTAATCAAAGCCTACTGGATTATATCTGATAGGCCTTATATATGAATTTCTAAGGCCTGTAAATTATCAACATCAAACTTTTCTGCAAAACCTGTTGTAAACAATCCACTACATTCCTTCAGTCATCTGATTGTTGTCTTCTAGTATCATTCTGAAAACTTCTTAGAAAAATCATGCTAAAATTGTAAGGTTTTTGAGGAATGTTTATTAACGTTCATCTCTCAGTCATCATTGTATGTTTTGCTCCAGAATAAAAACCACAAAGCTTTCACAAAACTAAGCATTTAAATATCATCTATCTTACTTAGAAATATTAGTAAGATTGGGAGATATATATAGAGTGACAATTGATATTTTAATGCATTTTATTTATATGCAGTCAGCTATACTTCAGAATTTTTTCTCAGATTGTTTTATTTTTTAACAGGCTCATCAACATTACGGTCCAAAAATATAGACTAAACCCAATCCCTACCACTAAACCTAACCCTACCCATAATTTGTTATGGGTGTACTCACTTTTGTGGCCAGTGGCTTAGACATTAATGGCTGTGTGTTGAGTTATTTTGAGGGGACAGCAAATTTACACTGTTATACAAGCTGTACACTCACTACTTTACATTGTAGCAAAGTGTCATTTCTTCAGTGTTGTCACATGAAAAGATATAATAAAATATTTACAAAAATGTGAGGGGTGTACTCACATCTGTGAGATACTGTATGTATATATATATATATATATATATATATATATATATATATATATATATATATATTAGTCACTTTTTATCAATTTAATGAATACTTGCAGAATAAATGTATTTATTTCTTTAAAAAGAAAAATAATCTTACTGACCCTCAACTTTTGAATTGTAGAGTTAGAAAAAATAAAAAGCTTATAAAGAAAAATCAAGCTTATGCCAGTACAATGTTATTTTTGTTTTCTTCTCTATCTTGCTTTACCTATCTCTTTTCAAATGACAGAAAGAAACAATTTTGTTTAGCAGAGGGTGAGGTACATGTCCCAGCATGCCTGGAATTTCTAATAATCACATAAGTGCTGTTTAAAAGATCCGTATGCTAACCACAAGCTAGCATTGAGTAAAAAATAAATAAATATCCATACTGTGTGTCTTTGTCTGGTGATGCAATATTCCAGATTTTCTACAGATTCAGCTGCTCAGACTTTAACTTCCTCATTTTCTGCATTTGACTCTCATTCGACAGCTGTTGCTTAATGCCTGAATACCACAGCTTGCGGTTGGAAGGGGATGGCTGTGAATGTAAGTAATGAGTGTGCTTTTAGCACGAGAAGCCCAACCCTGTATACTTGGATTCCTGGAAATGATGCATTTTGCATTGGAAATTAGAAGAGACAGGGAACAACTTGCAATTAATTCATTAATTAATCCAGTTATCTGCATATAGCTGGTATACACTAAAAAGCAATTAGTATCAAAGTACTGCTGCCACATTTCCACTATAATTGACAAACGTTTTGGGTGCCTCAAAAATTAGTTTAAATTACATTTCAGACTTCTTTAACCATATATTATGTTTTTAGTGACCAAGTGCATTTATCATTTTCTTTAGTTTTTGTGAGATGTAGTGGATAATGAAAAAGAAAAGATGGATATCAATATCCATCCCACCATTTTCTAGAATTGCTAAATGTTTACTTGAAGTTTGCGGATGATTAGCAGTCCTGACATTTCCTGTCTACACACCCTCCTGCTAAGACAGATAACAGAATGAGGATAGACAATACATGCACAAACTGGCTGGAGACAGTATGAGTCCTGATGATCTATCTACAAACTAAATATCAGACTGAGCTTTTGCAACCTCCTCCTGGGGCTACAGATCATGACTAACTATAACAATATGGCAGAGTGTCGTGGCATCTGATCGGTCAATCTCAGCAGCTTCCTTGCAGCTAATCTGCTGCTTTCCTCCCTCTATCCTTGGCTCTGCTTCCTGTCTCTGCCTCTGCCCTGTGCTCATAGCCAGAGTCTATAGTTTAGTAACATTGTTTAGTAACAATGGCCTCTATTTTGGGAAAGTTATTTTATTTTGAACACCAGATGTAGGTGAGTAGTTTTGGGTGTAACAACCAGTCAGATTATTGAAAATAATTTATAAAATTTTGAAGGTAAAGTAACTCTAGCAATAAAAATATTTCAGTTATATTTTCAGTTATTTCAGTTTGTTGGCAAGGCAACATTTTTTAACGGAAAAAAAAGTGTTTATACATTATGGTAGTATTTGATGTATTGCCTTCAATTTACTGTCATTTAATTAATTAAACTGTATTACAGTAGTTTTTAAAGAGAATCACCTTTGATGATAATGAAATTTACAAAAAAAACTTCAAAGTTAAATGCAGACACATTCTGATAATAAAAATTTAGATACAAATGTGCTTAATTGTCTTGAAAATACTGTCACAATACAAAAAAAACAAAAACTTAATGGTCCTAGAATATATTTTAGTAGTCTACACAGTGCTGCTCGAAAGTTTGTGAACCCTTTAGAATTGTCTATATTTCTGCATAAATATAACCCAAAAAAATCATCATCAGAAGTCCTGGAAGTTGACAAAGAGAACCCAATCAAACAAATGAGATAAAAATATATACTGTCATTTATTTATTCAGGAAAATTATCCAATATTACATATCTGTGAGCGGCAAAAGTATGTGAATCTCTAGGATTAGCTGTTAATTTGAAGGTGAAATTAGAGTCCATCTGTTCAGAGGTGTTTTTAATCATTGAGACGACTATCCGTTGTCATTGTGTGCCCTGTTCTATTTAAAGAATAGGGATATATCAAAGTTTGATCATGTTTGTGGAAGTGTATCATGGCACAAACAATTGAGATCTCTGAGGACCTCAGAAAAAGAGTTGGTGTTGCTCATCAGGCTAGAAAAGATTTCAAAGTCATCTCTAAAGAGTTTGGACCCCACCAATCCACAGTTAGACAGATTTGTGTACAAATGGAGGAAATTCAAGGCCACTTTTACCCTCTCCAGGAGTGGTCCACCAACAAAGAACACTCTAAAAACAAGACGTGTAAAATCCACTTGGTTAGGGTGACCATACGTGCCATTTTCCCAGGACGCATCCTGGCCAGGATTTCTATATTGCCTAAAATATCTAGGTTTTGGCTTTGTTTGCGTGTGCAGACCGATCGGTGTATGGCATCAAAATACCATACAGACGGTTCCTTATGCTTTCAAAATGCTTTCGAGGTACTTTGATGTCAAACACTGATCGATCTGAGCCGCGCTGCTTTTAAGTCGAACACACATCCTATGTACGCGTAAATTGCATCGCTTTGACCATAGATCCCACCTTCTCACACACACCATGATTGGTCCATTATGTACAATGCCTGCATGTTATTGGTCAAACTACTTTTTGATCATTACCTTCAGCAAGCATGAAAACAGGAAAAAACTAAGCCAAAACAAATCCTGGCAAGGATGCGTCCTGGGAAAATGGCACGTATGGTCACCCTACACTATGTTTCAAAGGACTGCAGGCTAACTTCTAAGTAACTAAAGGCCTTTCTCACATTGGCTAATGTTAATGTTCATGAGTTCACCATCAGGAGAACACTGAACAACCATGGTGTCCATGGCAGAGTTGCAAGAAGAAAGCCACTGCTCTCCAAAAAGAACATTGCTGCCCATCTGCAGTTTGCTAAAGATCATGCGGACAAGCCAGAGGAATACTGGATACATTTTTGTGGATGGATGAGACCAAAATAGAACATTTTAGTTTTAAATAAGCAGTGTTATGTTTGGAGAAAGAAAACACTGCATTCCAGCATAAGAACCTTATCCCATCTGTGAAACATGGTGGTAGTAGTATCATGGCTTGGGCCTGTTTTGCTGCATCTGGTCCAGGATGGCTTGCCATCATTGATGGAACAATTAATTCTAAATTATACCAGCAAATTCTGAAGGAAAATGTCAGGACATCTGTCCGAGAACTGAATCTCAAGAGAAAGTGGGTCATGCAGCAAGACAACGACCCCAAGCACACAAGTCGTTCAACCAAAGAATGGTTAAAGAAGAACAAAGTTAATGTTTTGGAATGACTGAGTCAAATTCCGGACTTTAATCCTATTGAAATTTTGTAGAAGGACCTGAAGCAAGCAGTTCATAGGAGAAAACCCACCAACATCACAGAGTTGAAGTGGTTCTGTACTGAGGAATGGGCTAAAATTCCTACAAGCCGTTGTGCAGGACTGATCAGCAGTTACAAGAAACGTTACTTGCA